CCACAACCACCCATCCGAGGCGCAACAATCGCAGACGTAGGGAGTGTTTACTGAGTACTCCTCTGTCGAGAATTCCGTAAATCTAGCACTCTCTCCCCTTTTCAAGTACCTCGGTAAATGCAGGGTAAGGTGCTCCTGGCTCCCGGGTTACTACGTACACTCTTCCTGTTTCGTGTCAACAGTGGGACTCAATTAAAAGTGTAGGAACATTCTGGGAGAATATGGTATTAGAGGCCCGACGTGGGGAGGGGGGGCTATTGAGTGCCAGATGCCGAGGTTGGAGTTGCAATCTCGATATCACACCCAATCGACGAGGACTGCATCGATCTCAAATGGATGAGTGGAATGATTAAAAGCAACAAGTTAATGAGGAATACTGAGGTGAGAGCGAAAGCGATAGCGAACGAGAAGGAAAGAGAAATAAGAATGAAGGTGATATGGAGGCGGATTACGGGACAACTAGTGGAGGGAAAGACTGCTGTTTTACGCAGCCATTGGAGCAGGGTTCAGACAGACCGTACGGTAGTTTCTGGCGACTCGAGGCAACAAAGGAACAGCGATGACTGTCCGGAAGAGAAAGAAGCAAGCGCGAGAAATCTCGTCTTCCGAAATCCGACGATATTGAACCCCGAATATCTGCTCGACAATGACAAGTCTGTACTGGCAAAGAGGCAGGCAACAAGGGGCGAGAAGAAGGGCCAGCCCGGCGCCCTTGTGGAGGGGGAAGTACCAAAGACTGTCTTCGCTGCGAGGGCTGGTTGCGGTAGTGGCACCTTGCGTGGTTCCGCCGGTCCACCGTGCCGCCAACCATGTGCCTGAAGTATAACAGGCGAGGACACGTCAAGGTCTTGTCAGCATGCCCGTTGTAGGAAGCACGATTCTAGGATCCGCCGAGCAAGGATTGGTAAAGTATTACGGGAGCCAGCATAATACAGAGTCTCTTGCATGCAATGTGAGATCACGTATGCAGCTTGCTTTTGTAATTAATCGGCAAGAGTTCGTTGAGCAGGGTCGCAGAGTGCTCAGTGAATCAGACGAGCAGAGCGAGGCGAGACGGGCAACTAGCAAGGCTTGACGTCAGAGCTCACAGAAGTGAAAGACACCTGATGAAGAGAGAAGGCGACGTAGAGAACAGACAGAGCGAGCAGCAGACACGAAGTAATCGAAGGAGACCAATGCCGAGTATGCTACACCCTAGAGCGGAAACAACTACAATCACCCGGACATTACGTAGAGTAGTACAGAGAACGGATACTAAGGAGAGTGTGTTTGAACTAATAACGGATAAGGATCATGGACAGGGAGCAGAAGCTGTAGTAATTATTCTAAATAGAGGTTCCAGTGGACGTGCAACGGTTGGTGACGAAACGGCAAATGACCATTAAAGGCGAGGAGAGAAACAATAGTATTGGAGAGAACAGCCCTGCGAATAAGTGAAGCTGATGCTGAAATTCAGAGACTCCGAAAAAAGTGGGAGTGAAGTAGGAACTGTCAGACATAAATGAACAGCTGCAGAAATACAAGGACACTATAATCTCGCTCGTTTTGGAGCCGCTTACACCTGATTGCATGCGCTTCTCGCTTCCAACACCACGTGACACACAAGCAAAGGAGAGGAAGGAGTAAAGGGACTAAATTGGACACACACACACACACACAGAGAGAGAGAGAGAGAGAGAGAGAGAGAGAGAGAGAGAGAGAGAGAGAGAGAGAGAGAGAGAGAGAGAGAGTGGGGAGAGAAAGAGAGAGAGAGAGAGGAGACCCCTGATCTCTGTCCCTTATTGAGCTTCTCAGGCGCTAGATTTCATGACTTCATCTGCAGTTTCGTGCTGATCTTGCAACATACATTCTTGGCGGGGAAGTGAGGTCACGTGGGTCTTCTTGTTCCGTGGTAATCGAAAGGGGCTTCTGCCTTATGCCGTTATTCTCCGGCTTGGCTGTGCTCAGGCCTGTGTCACGGGGCTACGCGACTCTGGTCTCTCTGGGCGCTACGTGATGGCAGGCATTTGGCACACACACACACACACACACACACACACACACACACACACACACACACACACACACACACACACACACACACACACACACACACACACACACACGTACCCATGCACACATACAAAGACATACATACACACGCATACGCATGCATACAGATATATATACACACACATACACATACAGACAGACAGACAGACAGACAGACAGACAGACATACATAACACATTCAGATGAAATGCATCCATAGTTATGTATATACGAGTATGTATATATGTATATGTGTGTATGTGTGTAATTAAATGAATGAATTTAATGACGAGAGGGTCAGAGAGACTGACATGGATAAAAAGAAACGATTCATCTATGGTAGAGGAACCAGGAAAATTAAAAAATGTCTGAAACGAAAGTAACAAAGAACCAATGAATGAATGGAACAAAAACGCACAAACCAAAACACTTCTACCTCATCCCATATCTTCCCACACTTAGCACATCC